TGGTTCTGCTAGATCCACTAACTGGCTCCATCTTTATCTTAGCCCATCCCTCTATCACTACTGAAAATTACTTTGGTACAGACTAAGTGCTAGGGCCCAGTTCTTGAGGGAAAGATTGGTTCCCTTGGAAACAGACTGAGATGGAGAGTGTCACACAGGTATTTTAGGGATTGCTCTTGGGAGATGTACCAATATGGAAGTGAGGAAGCAGGAGTAGGCAGGAAGAAAATCTAACTCACAGTGTGGTTGCAACTGAAGCCTCAGCTGACCATATGGGAAGTTCTGGAACTGAGATGGTCCCTCAAAGTTGTCCCAAATTGATGTGATGAAGCTGGACCTGTATCCCTGCATCCATCTGTCATTGGTTGTGAGATGCCCCAGGAGGGGTATGGCTTGGGTGAAATAGTTCCCTGTGGCTCATGGCAACACGCAGAGAGGGATGCAGCTGTGAGCTGTCAGCAGCCCACATTCCCAGCAGCTGGACAACAGGTGCCTTGGCCCCAAAGATCTGGGCCAGAGCACCATTACATCCACTCCTGGGAGTTTACAGTCACATTCATGGGCTCTCTGAGTACGTTGTGCCTTCTTTTATCAGTTTCCTCTTGAGGCAGGAAGGAAAAGACCAGAAATGGAAGTCAGGAGACATAGATTCTAGCACAGACTCCTGCTGTATGACCTTAAGTATGTCATTAAATTATCCTAGCTCCAGGGCTAGCAAGAGTGTTCAATAACAATCCTTCACCATTTATATTTTAGAGTTCTCTCACATTCACTTTTAATTGAATCCACAGGACCAAACTCTAAACCAAATGAATTAAATGAAGACAACAATATTTTGAAGGGTTGGAAGCACCACATACATGTGAGAGATTATGTAGCACAGCACTCAAAATAATGTTGATTCAATCTAATATTTATTGAGCATCCACTCTGTGCCAAGCCTTACTGGCACAATAAAGGTTTCCTAGTTGATGGGACATGAAGATGTATTAGACATGGCCTTTGCTCATGCCTTGGCATTGTTTCTAGTAGAGGAAAAGACATACCAACACAGTACAATGTGATAAAAATTATGATGGAGTTTTAAACAGGGAAGTAAGATGAATAAAAGATGCCTCGACTTCTGTAGAGGAGGGACAGAGAGGGGTTCAAAGTAGAGCTTCATAGATATGGTACATTTTTATAGGAGTAAAACTGAAGTGGGTGAGCTAATCCTTGCCGTCATGAAGGTGGAGACTGTTCCTATCTTGTTTGCTGTTGTATTCTTAGTGCCAAACACATTGCCTGACATCTAGGTACTTAATAAATAATTTGTTGAATGAATGAATAACTGTAGACTGTGGTGTCAAAAGAGCTCTTTTGTGATGTATTTAAATGATCTCGTCCCCTCTCTGAGGGATATGCACTAATGATTCACATTAGATACTTGGAGATTGAAGCCTTCTGATCTCCCAGCAGATGCTATGGCTAGTCTCTATGTTATCCCTGCCTCCAGTGCTGTGAGTCAGCACTGTAGAGACTCAAGGACCCTCATCCAAGAGCTGTCCCAACTGGCTTACTATTCCCATAGCATTGTGATAATGCCCTGTCTTCTCTGTAAGGCATCTTGGTTGGGGGTAGAAAGAGCTGGGCATGGATGAGATTGTGACCGTTCTGCTTGATCCCTGAAGGGGAACAGAGAGACCCACCACAGAGTCTGCTGGGAGATTTAAGAGGGTTTAAATTCAAGAAAGGATCTAATGTGCGTCTCAAAGGAACCAGCTGCAGTGGGGAGAACATGGGCTTTGGCTTCCGGTAAGTGTGTGTTAAAATCTAGGCTGCTCTTTGATTAGCTAACTGGATATTAAACAAGTTTTACTTCTCTTTCCTCATCTATAAAATGAGGATTAAAAAAAATAATTACATCAACAGCTTTTAAAAGGGTTAAATAAGGTAACAAGAAAATTCCCAGCACAGAGCCTGGCAGAGACTGGTTGCTCATTACATATTAGTTTTTCTTCTCTTTTTCTTTCCTTCACTAATTTCTGACTCTCCCACTCCCAAGAGCTCATTCTTTGTCAGTATAACCACTGCCACAGATGGCTTCTCTGATTTCATCCTGGCAGATCATGTTCTTGGTTTCTTAGTGGCACCTGAAACAGGATTCTTTTTCCTACACAAGGTTGGCTGAAAGCCTTGCTCTGTCTGTTTCCCCTGTGCCTAAACCAGTATCTTGGATACTACCACTCCAGTGAGAGGAGAGACCAGACTCACCAGCGCCAGAAAAAAAAATGAGCAAAAGTCACACTCCCAGAACAGGCTTAGGTATACCCACAAAGCCCATACCTCTACCCCCTATAAAAAACACGGTCTAATCAGATAACAGCACTTCTGCTTTCTTGGCAGGACTGTGCATTTTTTTATCATGACCAGTCCTGGGGGAAGAATGAGGAGGCTGGGATGAAGACTGCTAATTGCCCAGATAGGAACCTCATTTGCCAGCTCTCTTGCAGTCAGTTGTGGCCAGGTTACTAAGCCCTTGTCAGTAGATGTGAGCGGAAGGGATGTATGCAGCTTCTGTCTTCCTTGCTTAAGAGCAAATTTCCAGCCCTGGAATTTTGTTCTTTCTCTCTTCTCACTAACTAGAAATGATTCAATCAGGGTAAACTTGGAAGCTACATGTTGAGGATGGCAGTCATTATCCTAGGCCCCTGAATGCTTGAGGAGAGTAGAGCCACGAATGTATTTGGAGAGCTGCCTTCAAACATACTACACCGGACCTCTTAATCAAATCCTACCAGTGCTTCATATCCTCCCTCAACTCTCCAGGGAACATCCATGAACCCTCTCCTCTTCTTAACCATCATGTTTAATCTCTGTTCCCCCCCATTTTCTGGCACATAACTGTATTGTTTCCTACTTGGTTCTGTTTGGTGTTATCTTGTTTGTTCTTTATTTGGTGTGCACTTCTTATTCCCTATTAACTAGAAGGAACTCTCAAGATGTGGCATTCTGCTTCTGCTCCCAGTTCCCCAGCAGCACAACTGTAGTGGATGCTGATGGAGCCCCACACAGGCCCCCTTACCCAGCTGCTGTGAGTGTTGACTGCCATCGCCTTGGAGCTGTCCACTGCTCCAGAAACTTGGCCTCAACCAAATGTGAGCACCCCCGGGGAGGTTAAGTGCCCCCATTTAGCAGCCAGCAGCCAATGATGACTGACATAGAGCAGAAAAAGATAGCCACAAAAGGTGGGGCCAATTCTGTGATGAAAATTGAGCTTCAGAACCTTCCTGAGTAACCAGGTTGTTGCTAAATCTCCAACCAAGACAACTTCCTTACTTTGCTTTCTTCCATCACTCTGGCCTGCAGTATAGGTGCCATTCTTCTCCAGAGAATTGTCCTCAGTTGATAGGATCCTTACACCCCTTACAGTCCTCCTCTTGTCCCCACTTTCCTACCAGGGTGGTCCATAACCAATGACTGACTGATAGAGGGGCATAAAAGGCCAGCCCCCTTGCCTCCAGGGAGTGTAATCATGCCCTGTGATTTATGCCCCGGCTGCATGTGACAGTTCCCCATGGATCAGGCCAAGGCTAGACCCCAAGAGACACCTTGTTTGACTCTTTCCCTTTCCTATCTACTTCACTCTCTAGCTTATAGGTTTTCCGTGAAAAACACTCCTAAATAGATGTCCATCTTGGGCTCTGCTTCTAGGGAACCCAACTTCAATCTATTGATGTCAGTATTCTGTCATCATTTTCCCAAATCACTTTATTCTGGAGACTATTCAGATCCACACTCTGGGCTGGGTATGCCAAGGTGCCGAAATTGGGTTGACAGTTCTGCAGGGGCTAGATGACAACAAATGGGCTCTACTAAATTAATTGTAAGAAATTAATTAGGATTGTTATGAGGGTATGAAAGCTAAATGTGTTAATTTTAAGTGTGTGTTAAGTACTTAGACTGCTGCCTCACATGTAGTAAATGCTCAAGTATTCAGGCAGGGATTCCTGTGATCCTTTTTGTTTACTTTTTTATTTCAGGTGTGCCTAAATGAGTGCCTGGCACATAGTAGGCTCTCAATAAATCTCTGTTGAATGAGTGATTATTAAAGTTTTGCTTTAAGGGCTCAAGATGATGTGCTGAGATCTGGCCAGCAGAGGGCAGAAACAGTGCAGACAGAAGCTCCTATGGGCTGAGGAAGGTAGTGGGATGGAACTGGAGTGGCACAGAGCTGGGGAGGGGAGGCCCCAGGGGAATACCTACATCATAGAATATACCGAGTGTGTATAATGAGGTGTATGGAGCCCCTACTTTGTGAATCCAGACAAATAAGTAGTTTCAGGCTCCAAGACCTGTGGCATTGCCCTGATATCTGTAGCTCCTCTTTTGAACTTGTGACTACCCCATACTCCTAAATAAATCCCCTTTAGTGTTAATGCTAATATACATTGGATATCTGTAACATGCAAATGAAAGGATTTGTATTATTTTATTTCTAAGCCCTGTGAGTATAAGAACTGTGTGAAGGGGAGCTGCCTTCATGGCTGTAGACATTAAAGTCCCAGGGAAACCACAGTGGGCTTCTTTCCTGTTTTGTCCCCCAGTCAACCTGCTCTTTTCAGGAGGGTGATCTGATCACCCTCAACCTTTAAGCTTTCTTTGTCTTATTCCCTGTATTCACTCTGCCCATTTAGATCTGTCCTCTCTTTCAAAGCTCTCAGTTCAAATCCTACCTTTCTCTAACTTCTCCTCAAAACCCTCATTGTATCAATCACCTGACCATTTACACTTAATCACATTTCATATTTTATTTGGGAGTTTGGGCTTGGTAGTCTCTAAAGTCCCATTTGGCTGTAGACTGCCAAATCTGTTGTCTTCCCATATATCATATCTTCTTAGGCAGGTCTCCATCCTGTCCCTCAATAAAGGCTTGAGCCCACAGGGAGCTCAGCCCAGATTTGCAGGAGTGTGAACATAGCTAACTGCTCACACGAGTCCATGTGTTCTGTGACCCTCCATTCAAGAAACACACAGGCATTTATTTGTACTTTTCTAAGTGAAAGTAGTTCCCCTCCACCCCCACCTTATTATACAAGAACATACTTACAGTGAAATAAATCAAATATTACATAATTTTTTAAGTGAAAAGGGAAAATTACCCATAATCCTTCTCCTCAGAGATAACTACTATCAAAATATTTTTTTCAGAGTTTTTCCTCTACATAGATATGTATGTTTCAGCAGGGCCTTCTGAAGACCCCACAGAGATCCCTTAGATAGAAATCAAACAACACAGTGGGAGATTCTGGCCTGGGATTTGTAGCTTGTGAAGTGTTCACCAGCCACACTGCACATACTGGATTGAACCATATGAAACTACTGATTTCAGCTGCTTTTTACCTACAAACATAACAGTCTTATATGGTTCAACCTAATGTATGTGAAGGCTAGAATGTCAGAAGTGGTAGAGCCCTTGAAAACTTTCAAGTCTAATTATTTCATTGTGCTGAAGAGGGAAAAGGATCAGAGAGAGAAGTGACTAGCCAGTTCATATACCATATTAATGGTGGAAAGAGATCTGGTTCTCTTTCTGCTGAACCAGGTACCTGCCTTGTATACTCTGCTTCTTTTAATATGATCATCTTCTAGGTGTGATAATAGTATTCTAGAAGCAGATTTCAATTTGGTACTAGACTATTGCTTACAGAACTCAAATAGGAAGAGGCTGCATTAGAGGTAGTCAAGTCCCCATGTCTGGATATGTGGCTGGGAAGAGCATTGTGACATGGCTGGAGAGGCACATGAGCTATGGAGCTAAAGTGGCTTGACATTCAGGGCCTTGCATTTGCATGACTACTTCTCAGGGTCTTAGGAGAGGCCCTAGCAATATACTAACACAGTAATATGTTTTTGTATTATTTGCAAAAGTAAGGTATTTTAGAAATCTTTTTCTTAAAGAGGGCCTGAAGAATTGTGTAAGTTTCAGGCCTGGATTCACTCCCGTGTGGCACAGAGTTTTGTAAAGCACTAGACAAGGAGACCAGAGTTCCTGGGTTCCAGTCTGGCCCAAATGGACAAATTGGTGCTTGCCCTGCTTTCCCTAAAAGTGGGGTAAAATCACAAATGTTGAATGTGTTGAAAAACACAAAATATGAACAAACTTAAGTAAGTAACATTATTCAGATTTCCTGTCTGTGATATGGGATAATCATCACTGCTTCACATGGTCATTGAAGATAACACATCAAAAAACATGTCCTTAATGCATCTTCCTGTTTCATTTCCCTCTGCCACAATGTCCTCCTCCTTCCTCCAGGCTCCTGCCCCTCATATTCCAGCCATTGGACCAGTTATTGGTCATTATCTTTTGCTACTTCTATATATTTGTTCTTGGAGCTCCCACTGTCTCTAAAGTCTGTCTTTGCTGGAAAAAAGAATCCTTATTCAGAAGGCCCAGATCTTCCAGCCCTTCTCCTCCCACCCCAAAGATGGCCTCCCCTGCCATTGTTTCTTGTTGATCTGACAGATAGGGACACTAAGGCCTGATGTGGTCCATAGCTGAATTCTGGTGCCTTGACCTTCCGCTGTCTAGCCCCCTAGATCAGATCATAGACACACGGTTCTTGATGTACACATGATAGGGGTCACTGCGCTTGTCCACTTTGCGGGAGCGGGTATACCCCAGGATGAGGCTGCCCACGGTGGCAGCAAATAGGAACATGACGAAGAGAATGTACATGTAAGAGTTGTCATCACGGCTAGGTGGGCTGTCTCGCCGCTCCTCAGTCAGGTCGTCTGGCCCTCGCCCTGGCCGGCAGAGCAGGTTGCTGTGAAGAGTGGCATTTAGAGCCTTCAGAACAGAGTGCAGGCTCTCATACCAGGTCTCAGTCCCATTGGTGGTCTCCATAGCAACAAGGATTTAGGTGGGGGAGGAATTGGCTCTGTTGGTGACAGAAAAGAGAGGAGATGGCTTGCAGCTTAAATTACCTCCCCACTCCTTCAGACCCCAGCTAAAAATCCCAGCATCACAGTTTATTCTAGCTGCTTCTTTACTTTTCTGTCTTCTCCACTAGACTCAAGGTCAATGAGAGCAGGGACCATGTCTGTTTTAGTAACTGCTATATACGAGCCTTTGTGACAGCACTCAATAGATGCTCAATAAATATTTGTGGAATCAAGCTTACCTTGACCACCACATTAATCCCTTATTAATCTCCTTTCTTTGGATCCTTTGGGTTCTGTAAATCACTGAGATTCAGGCTAGAAGGACCTTAGAGATTATTTAGTCTATCTCCTTCCATTTTATACACAGGGAAACTGAGACCCAGAGAGAATAAATGGCTTGTCCATGATCACAGAGAATACTAGAGGTAGAGTCTAAATACATCCCCTCTCTCTCTCTCTGGCAGCCAGCTCAGAGCTTCTTCAGCTTTCATGTTTGCTCTTGGCAGACAGTGTCACTCCATTAAAAGTCACTCCTCAGAACTCTCCTTCAGTACAGTTCTATTTTTATATTCCACAGACACCATCTAGAAATGTTGGGATGGCTTAGTGTTCACCCTACCTGGAGGCCAGAGGCTGGGTCACCTGACCTCTCAAGCATCCTATGTCTCCAAGATTCTAGGTATTTATTCCTGCCTTTTTGGGGGAAATTCTGTTGTAAAGAAGGTGGCTTGGGCATCAGGGAGAGGCTGGTCACCACTGCAGGCACTGGAAAAGAGGAGAACAGGGCTGGGCCCAAGGATGGGAGAGCGAAAGGAGCACCCAGTCTGCTGCGGGGTTTTACCTCCCCAGAGAGATGAGACACAGGCAGCTCACTTATCTTGCCTTCTGACACAAAGGCACTCTGTACTTGGCATATAATAGGTGATAATAAATGTTCATTTTCCTTCCTCTCAGAAATCCTTAATCTGTAATATAGAAAACAGACAGCCTGGCATTCTGGTGTCTGAAAAGCCGTATGTCATTCCCTTTAAACAAGGTTCCACACTCACTTCCTTCAGGAAGCCTTCATCAGAGGCTCCCCACCCTTAACCATACTCCACGAGCTTTATCATCACAGTCATCTCTTTCTGCCAGCACTTATGTGTAAGACAATGTATGGCTGTTCTCTTGTTACTGACAAGGGGTATCAGCAGACTACTTGCTCCTGGTCAGCAGGGCTGTGTCCATCTCCCAAGTCTAGGGGACTAGTTTTCCTTACTCAGGGGCCCTATCCTGACACTGGCTGGGTGTTCTTCCCTTCATGGTCTCCAGTAAACATGGCCACTTAAGAGATTTCTCCAAAGGCTAAGCACTCAAGAGTTAACTGACTGGTTCCAAAGCCCTCCTTTATTATCTACGTAGAGCTGTCAATTAACCAAAGTTAATAAACTCGGCTACTAACCATGAAGTGTCTCCCCCAGAAAAGATGACAGTTAGTTATGACCATGATAAAATTCATGAACAACTCTATGACAGCAGAAGTTGGGGGGAAGAATCTAAATAATACAGCAAACACCTAGGTCAGGCCCACGTTTTGTGGAAGGCCTTTGGGACCCCTGCTATCTGGTACCAGGGCTGCCTTGTCTGGATGGATGAGGGGAAGAGTTAAGGGCTCACTGAGTTAAGATCCAGAGGGCATAGGTTCTTACCTACTACCCCACTTGTCAGGCAAGAAATTTGTGCCTTGCTCTTCCCTCGTATGGGCCAGTGGAAAGCAGGAGCAGCACAGTGAAATTAATGGCTCAACTAAGCATGGAGCCGGTCATCATTTATGGAGGCCACTCTTGGGCAGGCCTTACATTGGGAGCTTGGGGAGAGGGCGCTGGCTCTGCACTTACAAGCATATCACCAGCTGATCTATAACGCAGGGGACAAGCCAAGGGCTACTGGGGCTTAAAAGAGGAAGGGACGAATTCTGCTCATGGTTCAGAGAGTGTTTACAGTGAAAGAGATATTTCAGTTGGGCTTTGAAGGGTTTTTAGGAAGTAGAAAAGGCAAGAAAAGGAAACATAAACAAAGGCATGAAAAAAAGAAAGCACATAAAATGTTTAGAAGGCAGTAGATAAAACAAAGGTTTCAAGTGGCCCAGGGCTCTTTCCCAAGGTAGTCACCATGACCAGTTTTCTTAGAAATCCTTGCAAGGGGGTTTTAACTGACAAGGAAGAGGGAGGGCAGCCTCAATCTGGAAGGCTCACCAAATAGTAGGCAAATTATCTGACTCTGAATTGGTTTCAGCAATCTTCCTATGGGCGCCCTAAGTCTCCTCAGACTCAGCCTCTTCAGGATGTCTCTGGACACATCTGGGGTCTTAATATTGGCTTTGGAACTGGGAGGGCCCAGATCTAGAAAGCAGGGGAGGGGGCAGGAAAGGAAGGAGGAACCAGAAACACAGAAAAACCTTCAGAACAAGTGTGGATCGTCCAAGGCTGGGCTCCAAGGGTTGTGCAATAGCCTTGCTGTGGCTACTGACACCCTCCTACATGTCTTCCCCTTCCTGCAGCAGCTGGGTCAGACCAGCCTGGGGTTGCAATTACAGGAACTATGTGGAGGCCAGGGCACATCTGATTGCAGTCTCCTGACTCCAGGCCCACAATGTGTCAATTAGGTGATTTAATGAGAAACATCAGTTTAATACATGGACTCCTGCTCAATGAGCAGCTAAATGAGTACAGCCTAAAACAGTCATTCCCTTTCCTAAGGGTACTGATGTCTTAGTAGGAGCCTCTTTAAGGCTGCAATGGCCTGAGACCCAAGGGAACAATGTAAGCGGCAGAATGTCTGTTGGCAGTTGGGTTGATATTTTACATAGGAACAAACAATGTTCCGAAACAGTCTACTTGGATAAACTGGTCACAGCATCAACACTATCCATAGCATAGCTCACTGTGAAAATTAAAGAAGAAAATGATGCAGTGCCTGGCACTAGACACTCCACAGACATGGTGGTAGTTTTATTTTTGTAGAGCAGAGCTGGCAGGGCCTTCAAAGTCCATCTAGTCTACCCTCCCTCATTTTAGAGTGAAGGAGATAGAAACCCAAGGAACTGTGTTGGCTCAGCTGTGACTGTGTGACTTTGGGCATGTGACTTCCCCTTTTTGGGCCCATGTTTCTGTCTGCATCTGTAAAATTAAGGGGTTTTACAGTGTACTCTTGTAAGGTTCCTGTCAGCTCTATCATCCTATGAGGGTACAAATCACAATAACACACTGTGATATTATGGAAGCCTGGTGGGAAAGGCATTTTGGGAGCTTCCTAGAGCCCATGAAATCGCAAGACAGAGAAGCCTGCAGGTTTTTTCCTCACAGGTTAAGATGTTTCTGAGCCCTGGGACTAGGTTACACTTACTATTCTAGCTTAGATAAACTGAGAGCCTAATCAGTTGACTTAATTCTTTTTTCCTCTTAACAACTCACCTGCCAGGATGATCTAGCAGGTGGAGGAGATAGACTCTCTGCAAAAAGTGGGCAGAGCAGGCAGTGTGGGGGACAGAGTGGGCTCTGAGATGGGGTTCAGTGAGGGGAGTAAAGGTTCATCCCTCAGACCCTCCTTCCTGGGCCTCTGGATAAACCTGGATGTTTGTGGTTCTGAAAGGGAGGAGCAAAGAAGCCACAGCGATACATCTTTAGGTACTGGGTTGGAGTTGGGAGTGAGGGCCACGGTACAAGGGCATCCTCTTGGATGAGGAGAGGCAGAGAGCCAATAAAGGGACAGGTTGGTTCTCTTTGACATGTCTCTGGGTCCCAAGTTAGAAATTGTAGGTTGGCAACATTGGGAATTTTGTTCCTCTTCCTGGCTCCTTGGCTTCCCTCTTCAAGATAGTCACTGATTATGAAGTTCACTATAATAGGGGAGACAGAGCTCCTGCCCTGGAGAGTCCTTAACTTGAAACAGGAGACAGACCAGTTAGAAAGGAAGGTGAATGAGCAGTGAAATGAACACCAAGGTGAAAAAGATCATTTAGAATCTAGATTCTAGGTCAACCCCTCCATTTTGTAGATGGGGAAACTGACAAGTATCCCATCCACAGATATTTCCACTGTAAGTTCCCTGCCTATAGGACAGGTCTTTGGGGTGCGGTCGGGTGCTCTTTCCACTGCAAATAGCAACATTCCCTGGCATCTGAGCTGTGTATTACACCAATCACAGCCTCCTGTGTCCAGGGGCATTATTTTCTCTAACTCAATTACTCTTGCTTTTTCCTGCACTACAAGTTCTCACCAACCTTAAGGGAGGACCCAGCAAGTGTGGGAAAGTTGTTAAGTTTTGGAGGAGGAGTCAGCCTTTCTATATAGTCTCACCTCCCACGGCCTTTTCTGCTCCAGACCTACTCCTGATCCCCCAAACAAGCCAGGTGCACACTCTTCCTCCACACTCTGTTGCTACTATTTCCTGCATGTTAATAGGCTCTTTCTAAATATTCTTGACTTGAACTCATTTGGCCTCTGACTTGGGGGTGGAAGCAGAAAGCTGTGAGCTGAAGGATGAACTGGGTATCTTAGTGAGATTTTCTTTCAGGTTTCTCTGGAGAAACTCTGCCATTGGTTCCTCTGGTTGTCCCATTGCTCTGTTCACCTACTCTTTCAGAATGAGTGTCTTATGTTCCTAGAAGTGAGGTAGGGATGAAAGCAAGTAGGGGACCCAAAGACAACTCCTGGGACTGCACAACTTTGCCATTAGTCTCCTTGCTGGTCATACCACCTCCATGGGCTGGGAACCAGTGGAGTGGGAGAGGATTTGAAAGAATGGACCTTCACATATAGATGGAAAAAGACACAGGAATAAAATCTGAGCTGGAAGGCACCTTCACAATCATGTCATTGTTACAACTCCCTCATTCAACCAGTGAGAAAATAGGGTCCCCCTCCACCCATCCCACCAGGGGGAAATCACTTGCTCAAGATAGATCTCACAGCCCAGGAAGGGTAGAGCTAGGACCAGAAACAAGTATCCCATCCACAGATATTTCCACTGTAAGTTCCCTTTTGCCTATAGGACAGTCTAACCTCCTCTAATTTTCATTCAAACTCCTTTGGATGTGACACTGCCTCTAGCCCCCTATCACTGCAGCTCTCCCCAGTGCCCTGTGCCCCATGATACTGAGCTACAGACCATTCTTCAAATATTCCGTGCATTTGCACACCTCTTGTTTTTGTTCATGCTATTTTACTTAGGCAGGAATGCCCTTCCCCTTTTTTTTTTTTATTTCATTTATTTTTATTTTTATATTTTTTATTTTG